TATCAAAAATAAATATTGTGAGATCTAACGCTCTCTTATATTTCACTGAATCAACTATAAGCTTTGTTAAATATACAGTCACCAATAAAAGTTTAAGCGAAGTTGTTTTTTTCTTTTTTTAGATTTGTTTCTTTCAAATTTTCTTTCACATTAAAAGGTACAGACCTGATTTAAATGATGATATAGATAATACGAGATGCTTGTTATATGATGATATCGATAATACGAGATACTTGTTATATGATGTATTATAGAAGAAAATCATCTGTTTATATAGATGTTTTAGAATTAAAATAATTATTTCCACGTGTTAGCAATTCTTCTTTTCTTTTCTTTTACAATTAGAATTAAAATATAGATATATATGCCCTGATAGGCATGCATACGATCTTTTCGAGAGGGATCGAATAGCACTGAACTACATGTATGATATCGATGAATACATATAGAACGAGAAAAAACGAGAAATCAAGCAAAGATTAAAGAAGATAGAGATTGTATCTAATCGAATAGATTGTAGCAACATTTACAAATATATTTGAATATTATTTAAGTGAAATTTATTTAAGAAAAATTTTCTCTTGTAGAAACATTTAAATAAGATATGATAATAAAATAAATAAAATGTTTTTATTCTATCATTTGATTGGTCAATAATTTATGATTTTCAATCTAAAGAAATAGAATGTATTACGACGAATTTGCTGTAAAAGAGAATTTATCTCTTCCATCTCTATTAGAAGTACTTTCCAATATACTTTATCGATATTCAAAACATGATCCATCTCTTCAACAACCTTTACGTTAAATTTTATCTATTAATGATCAACAAAAGTAAAAAAAAAATTGTTTCAATTTATAATTTACAATCGAAAATTATTCTAGTGCACTTTTAAATTTCCCATGTATTGATATTCATCTTGGTTATATGTGTGTAAAAACAATAACAAGTTTTCCAGAAAGTTCACCAGCAATTGATGGTGCTGTATCATTATTTAATTCAAATAATGGTCGTTTACTTCTGGTTTGATAACAATAGTTTCAAAAAAACAAAAAATTATAATTATAAATATTTTAGATAGCTGATGCAAAAGAAATAACTGCACGACGTACAGCTACTGCTTCATTTCTTGCTACTCAAGTATGATTATGTTTAATTATTTGTTTTTTTTGTGTTAATCTATGAATTTTAGTTATTAGCATTTAAAAAATGGAAAAATGAACAAAAAGAAAATGCAATATTAACTATTCTTGGTTGTGGTGTTCAAGGACGAGCTCATCTTGATGTTTTTACTCAATTATCCAAATGGAATAAAGTAAAAAAAAAAAAAAGATAATCTTGATTTATTTTTAAATAAATAAATTTTAAGATTTATTTATGAAGTCGAAATATGACACATGCTATTAATTTACAATCAGATTATTCATCAAAATTAAACAATATTGAAATATTAAAAGATTTAAATGATAATCGTATTCAACAATCCGATGTTATTTGTACTTGTACAGCAAGTGAAGAAGCTTTGATAGGTCTTAAACAAGTGAAAAAAGGCGTACATATTAATGGTAATTCATTAATATATTACATTCTATTTCAAAGTTTGAAAAACCTCTTCAGATGCCACTCAATAGATTCTACATAGAGTTCTAAAAGAATTTGAGTTCCTATTGAGATTTGTCTAACTTATCGAATCTTTTCTCTACGTTTTTGCAAAACTCGTATTTTGATCTGAAACAAAGTCTTATCGAGATATGAGACTCTTTTCCATGGATATGCATTTTTTTTCGAAAGCTTCATGTCTGGAAGAGATTTTTTTTTAAATTTCTGAATTTTTTTAATATATGATAGCTTATCTCTTTCATGGCTAGAGAACTATAATCAATCATGAAAAATAATTGTGATAGAAAGAATGATAATAGTGCATAGATAGGATTCATTTCTGGCTATTCAATTTACATAACAAAGATAATGATATCATATATTTTCTTTTCTAACTACGCAATAAATAAAAAACTAAGATAAGAAAGAATAATGAAAATTTTAATGATTCTTCATGGACAGAAAAAAAAGAGAATGACCTATATAGATAAATATACGACGCATATAGATAATCCAAAGAAACGAACGTATACATGTAGAGAATGTAATATATCTTGTTAGAGTGCTCTCTGACAATTTTTTGAAAAGTTTCAGAATTTTATGGAATAGATGGAAATTGTTAGTATGCTATAGAATGTTCTAGACAATTTCATAGCAGCATATAAGACGAATTCATCACAGAAAATTGTCAGTTTTCAGTTTGAAGTGATACAGTGTATCACTAATCTTTGAATTGATGTATATAACTAGAATACTCTTCAAAATGAAAATGCAATGTATCAAAACAAAAGAACTCAAATCCTTTGAAAGATGTTCCCTGATGAATCCATATAAATGGTACCAGGAGAACACGAACTACATCTTGATAACTAAAACCTCATAATTGTCTATAATATAATGTGCCTATTTTCGTTTCAAATATGATATTCGAAACAGGGTCATACAGTGCAAGTCTTTGAAAAAGTGACATATCAATCTTTTGTAAAACTCAATGCTATCTACTACGCGAATGTAATATTTGAAAAGAAAATAGACACATTTTGCTTTTCAATCGAGACAATATTTATTTGATGAATAATATAAAAGTCTAGAATGGTTTCATGTTTACACAAGCAAAGTTCTCAATGAACTAATCTCATTGAGAATTTTGTTTATATAAATTTTGAAGGCGATTGGTACTATAAATTAACAATGTGCGATTTTTTTCCTAGTACATGTTTCTCGAAAGCTCATCTGATAAAATCAATTCTAGAGTAGACAAATTACTCTCTTTAACGATCTATAAATATGACTAAAATCTTTTTTTTTGTTCTTTAGCTGTTGGTTCATTTCGTGAAACAATGCGTGAATTAGCTGATGATCTTATGTTATCATCAGATACACAAGTTATTGTTGATAGTAAAGAAAGTGCAATGAAAGAAGCTGGTGAAATAATTCAATGAAAAGTTTGTTTTTTGTTTTTTTGTAATGTAAAATATTATTTATTATTTATTTTATTTTAAGGCTAAAATAATAGCTGAATTAGGTGAATTAATTCATAATGATAAATTTTCTAATGATATATTCAATGAAAAAATAACAATTTTTAAATCAGTTGGTATTGCTATTGAAGATCTTGCAGCAGCAATTGTTCTTTATGCATCATTAAAGAAATGAAAAACAAAACAAAAAAAAAATTAATGATTATTTATTCTTCTTCGTTTTTTTTCTGTGATTAATTAAAATTTTGTAATTTATTTTATTTTTTTTTTGGTACAATGATTTTAAGATAAATTGAAATTTGAAGATTTTTATTAGATATATATTGTTTTTCATTTATCACAATGAATAGAACAATTTGTAAATATCGGTAAGAAGAAATATTGAATTTAAATAGAATAACTAATTATTTTCTGTATTAAAGAAGAAAATAAACCGATCTACAAGTACATCTATTATATAAGAAATCTAATCACATAACCTTTACACTATTTGTAATATATAAAGAAGTGCGAAATTCATGACACTATATTAATGAATACTATAATTAAATTTTTTGAATATTAGAGATAAATTCTTTTTTAATATATACATTTTTTGATTCAACCATCATTCCATTCTTACTCACTAAAATATCTTTCATAGTTTGATGAAAATTATAAAAGGCTATGCCTATGAAAACATCGAATGTCCTATAAATATCAAATCAAACTGATTGAGGAAATAAAACTATAAATGCTAATCTAAAAATTAAAAACAATAATTTAACATTTTTTTTCTTATTTACTTAACATACAAAACAACTTTCTTTTGGTGCGTAATAATAAATGAAGGCGTATGTCAATGATAACTTATTCTGTTATTGATAATAACATCTGAATCGTCAAATACTATTTAGCATTACTATAAATGGTCATGTTTGTCCTCAAAATAAAGACAAAAAATTGTCGACGTTATTATAACACGTAAGTTTAATTCTGTGAAAAAAAATGAATTAATTTTTGATAAATATTTTTCTCTTACAAAAAAAAAACAACAACAACAAGTGCTCTCGATTTAACTAACGTTAACTACTGTTATATAGATTAATATTTTATAATTTTGAACGACAATATTTAGACTTGTTTATAATCTGATAAACAAACTAATTTGTTTTTTCTTATTTTGATGTGAATTAATTTGTAGCAAAAAAAAAGAAAAAAAAATAACCTCTATATTCTAAATAATATTTTCGTATTTTCTTATTTATCACCTGTATAAGTTGAGAGCGAAGGCAAGAGGGCAATAAGTAAGAGGGGGAAGGTTGGCAGTTTTTCTTGTCAACTATAGCTTATCTTTAACTTCAAGTTGTTTTAGTTGAATTTAACTTTCAAGATCTACACTACTATAATGATTAAATGTATGATATACATGCAGTTAATCAATGATGTAATGTATGGTCTTTTTCCCATTGACCTATTTTTATTCTCTTTCTCTGTATTGATTCAAACGCAAATCTATCTTTAATGTTCGTTTTTTCAATGTTTGAGATATATTTAATGTCATATGATCTTTTTTTTCTTGTTTATCGCAACAAAAAAAAAAAAAAACTTTATTATTGAGGGTTGTAAAAAGAAAACAACGCAGGTCATTTTTTATCAACTAATGTAAATACTATATTATTTTGATAAGACGTACGCATTAAAAAACAAAAGAGATACCTAGTTGTTTTTTTTTCTTATAAACAGTAATCTATTGTAAATGATGATTTCTAATCTACAAGTATTATTTGTATATGCGCACTTGTTTTTTTTTTAATTTTCAGAATCATAAAAGACCTTTATATTGTGTGAGTGTATAGGTTTTTACCCATCACGCCATCATATCCACACCTTCTCAATATGTTTCTAATGATGCAGTACATTTGACCATCACGAATCACGCGCTTTATCGTTACTATCGGAAAACAAAAACAACAAGAAAGAACGGGTGTGGGTGTGTGCCTGCTGACGCGCAGAACATAGTTTTTTCTTTTCTTTTTCTTTTTCCGTTCTTTCTTTTTTCTTTCGTTACAACTACAAAACAATGACGCCATTAATAATCATGTAATCAATCATAGACGTGTATATGCAGTATATCAGCATTGCAAACCTCTAGTATATATAGTCAATTGGGGTAATTCGGATCAGCGTTCAAAAAAATCGACTTTTTTCAACTATAACTCAACTATTTTACATCGGACAAAAAGGATTTTTTCACCATCAGATAGTTCAAAGTGTTTTCTATCGAACCATGTAAAAATCTAAATAAAAACTTAATTTTTTAATAGAGTTTTTAAAAAAATGGTGAAAGCACTAGAGAAATGATCCGAATTATCCCAACTGAGGTAATTCGGATCATTAAGCAAAATGTCAAGGGGGAAAAAGCGGATCCTGGGATCCATCAGGATCCATTAGGATCCGCCAGGATTCATAGGATCAACCAGGATCCACTAGGATCCATTAGGATCCATTAGGATCCATCAGGATCCACTAGAATCCATTAGAACTCATTATCATTTATGAAGATAGATTAATGTTCTGAATAGCCACAAAAGCAAGGAAATCAACCAGATTCATAAAATAAGGATGCATAATTGAAAATATGTTCTGGATGAATCAATGGGAGCATCATGTGCTATTTATACAACTATGACTAGTCTACTTTACAAATGAAAAACGGACCTTGAGACATCCCTGAATCTATTGGACTCCATCCGAAGCCATTAGAATACATGGAAACAAAGTAAACAGACGAAGAATTGGCCCTAGAATTTTTGAAAACAAAGAAAAAAGAAATCTCGGAGATTGAGAGCCTGGTGGGTCCTGATGAACTTTTGAGTATCTGAATGAGTTCTGCGGTTTATACGATAGAATAAGATCCATCAAGATTTAGGTGTTCCTGATTGGTTTCAGATTATTATGATGCTTATTAATTTCTGCTGTATTCTTCTGGATTTCAAAAGATTGTACTAGATAGTGTTGAATTTTTGCTAGAGAAAAGCTCAAGTCTTTTTGAGCTAGATTTCTGACATAAGCAGCAACAGCGCTGCACAGGTTCACCATTTTTTCCGGGGAAAATGCGAAAAACGGAAAAAAGTGTGTACCCATAAAATTTTAAGATGCCGACAGAATTTTAATTGAGATTCAATCAAGATCGTAACAGTTTATTGCTATTTCCCAATCATATATCGTCGAAGAAGCTGCTAAATCTTGAGAAAGCCGTGTAGTCACGGAATTTCAAGACCTCGACAAGGTTCATAACAGGATTCTATCAGTATCCTGAGCAGTTTACCAATCCAATTAAAACAAGAAATATGTTAATAGAGGGTCAAATCCTCAGAAAAACGTGTAGACACGAAATAAACACGATTCTGTTATGATTAGAACAAAATCTTAGAGAAATTCTGAGTCATTTTGTATTGACTTTATGTCAAGCTCTTCTCAGAATTTCAATGGGTTCTAATTGGAAAATATTTTCTGATTGCATCTCGCAGAACTCCACTTCGATTCTGTAAGGATGATATCCGATGGATTGTCAAAATTTTTCCAGGATTCTCTAAGCAGAAAAGAGAAATGAACGCACATTATTGATTTCTATATGTTTAGTTAAAAAACTGATTAGTTCACCGCAGTAGACTGTACCATGCTATTTAATTTAACTCAAACCTTCTCTATCTCGAATTTCCTCTGAACTATTAACTTGTATTTGAACTTTATGCAAACATAAGTTATTTGAACAAAAATTCAATATAAACTTAATCTATTGATTACTTATCATAAAATTCTAGTATGACTGGTTGATTTCAATTTGAATAAAAAGATATTTTTCTGATTAGCACGAATAAATAAAATCCAGTACAAGTTTTATTGAAGTACTCGTCCTTTACTAAAAGCTTTTTTAAGAAAAAGTTAGTGCAACAGTTAAACTGATATTAAAATCTCCATTTTAATGAGTTTGCAAGTTTTATATGAAAATAAAATTCAAGAAATAACTGAGTTCCATGCTGTAAATGTCATGCAGTATTGAAGATAAATATTAAAAATCTTTGACGAGAAATCTTCAAAAATTCTGTCAGATTTCTTCCATTCACTAACACATAGATACAAAGGAATATTAGAATGAAATTCAGGTACCTTCTTGATCTTCTACATTCCGGTCAGAACCGGAACAAAACACATTGCAAATTCTTCATTGTCATTTTAGTATAGTTACTATTAAAATTTTATTAAACAAGCACAATTTAAGTTTTTGAGATTCAAAGATTCAAAAATATTCGAAGAATCTTAAATAGGAACTTTTAAGGATTTTGGTGAAAACATTTCATAATTTTACTCAAAATCCTGAACCAGATCAGTCATAGATCTTGTTACAATCCTCAAGATCAACCTTTAGTAGACTCTAAATGAAAATGGTAAAGATCTTCGTCTGACCTTGATATGCTTTCAGAAAGATCCTGGCCATCCTTGACCTTCTCTAGGAAGGATCCGAAATGCTTGTCCTTGAAGAAACCCTAAGACAACCCTGGAAATGTTCAGAAAAGATATTCGTAAGAAGAATACTTAAGAAAATTAGATAGAATCGTGATTGAATCTTAGCAGAATTCACTACCTGAGGATTTTCATTGCTCTTCTATTGATTCCTTGTAGGATCTTTGCCTTATTTAACTGTAAGCCAGGAGAAGACCATGACGCAGAGATCCCAAACGAATTCTGTTAAAACTATAATCGAATCTAAGCGATATTCTTTCTGTAATCCCTATCAAGGTTTTGAATAAGATCAAGGATGAATCCTAGTACGGTCCATCATGTTAAAATAATAAAGAAATCTGAGTGGCAACTTGAAAAGATCCGGAGAAGAATATTTTTTTCACAATGAAATATCCTGCAAACCAGTATTATTAAAATTAGAAACGGAATTCTGAATAAAATATGGCATGAATCTTCAGATTCAGGAGCCCAAAATGTTCTTTCACACTTTCTCAAGGAAAATCAGGATTAAGATTAAAGTAGAGGGCTGCTCTAAGTTCTGACATCCTTAGTTTGACGGAGAAAAGCGGATTCTAGAGTCCTAAGAGATTTTAGAATATATTTCTAGAAGTGTGCCAAAAGCGGTCACAGATTACCGCCATTGGCTATAATTCAACACAATCCATTACA